AGCTTGGGCAGGGTGTTTCAAAGTGCTGTTGCTTATGAATTGGTGAAGTCTTAACAGAATGGCTAATATTTCTGGTTTTCCTCTTTCTCTTTTTTGTGTTGTGTTATTGAATTTCAGATTTTTTCATTCAGTTTCACATATGATTTTATGTTAAAAAAAATTAAGAAAACATCAAGTATAGATACTTTATAAAACTTAAGCTAATAATAAATTTCTCTATACCTTCAGTAAAACTAGGTAGAACATACAATGCCTCTACAAAAATGTTTTCAAGAACAGTAGATCTTTAAGACCATTCTAATTAACAGTTAAACCAAAAATGTTTTGGATTTTTCAAACCAAGTTCTTGTTACATGTGTTGTCATAGCAACCTTCAGCTATGGAGCATGGGCAGAATTACAAAATACTTGTTCATCTGTTTGGCCTAAGTATCTTTAATATGACTTGTACAGTGTTACTCCTTTCCCATAATTTCTTTGGTAACCTACAGAGTTCTATCCCACCTCCTCCCTTGGTGATTTTCTCTGTTGTAAGGACTTCATTTTCAGTGGGTTTTTCTCTTCAGCCCTGTAGTGCAGTATGTGCTTTTCCCCTGTCTGTTTTCTGCCTTCACTTAAGAGTTCTATTCAGTTGCTATAGAATATTGCCTTTTTGGAGACTTCCTATTTCTTTATTTATCTCTACCTCGGATGTTGTCAAAGGCTGAAAATAGCATGGAAAAAGACCCTGGAGGTTTCCCTCTTTTCTTCTGTCAGCCTTGACTTGTGTTTGACTTTGGCAGTTATCCTTTAGCTGCCCTTCAGGTGACTGATTTACCCAGTCTGTTTTGTGTTTGTTTTTAAAAGCCATTTCCTTTTTTTCATTCCTCAAGCACCTGATTTGTTAGTTTCTGTGCTATTCTTGAATGCTTCATTTGAGTTTTCTGGCCAGATTATCCTGTAATTCTGTCCCTTTACTCACACTTACCTTCTACTGTTTTATCCTCATCAAAAGCAAGACCTAAGTCACTAAATCAGTAATAAAAGCAATTAGTTATTTTCTTTTGGCTGTCTGCTTCCTAAAGGTGGAACAAACAAATGAGGTCTGAGATCATGAGTTATGGAAACAGGTAAAATGCAGTTCCTAATACTCACCACCAGTTCACGACTCACTCAGAGCAATGGCTTTTCCTGCAAAATATCCTAACCTGGCATTGGTACTTAGAGCGCAGACTCTTCTCAATTCTGATAACATTCTCTGAAATTAGTTGTTTGAGGGCTTTGCATTTCTGCATTAACCTCAATGTCTGACTTAATTTTTTTTTAAAATATCACTGTAATATACATTGTGTTACAAACTTTCACTGGTCAACATTTTTGTTTAGTAGGGAGAAAATGCAGATAGCTGTCTTCTATTTTGGGCACTTTATGCTTTACTTTGGTTGCATTATAACCTTGCAATGCTTAGTGCAAGATGTGGCAAAGCTGAGAATCAGGCCTCTTGCCTAGGTCCAGCTGTTAAGCTAAACTGAACTCAGATTTGTTGGTGGACTGAAAAATAGTGCTCTTCAGTTTAAGAAAGAGCTTGTGATGCATGTTGCATGAGGAATTTTTGGAAACTGAACTTTTTGAAAAGAATATTTTGCACTCCAGTTCTTTATGGTGAGCATTATTTACAATGAAATTTTAAGTTTTGCTTCAGCAAAAGCAGCTGTTCTGCACAGACTTCCCCGATCTTCAAAGCAGTGGTCTTGATGTTGTTATGCCTCTCCAGAAAGAGGTGCTGGTCTCCATGCAAATTGGGATAAATCCCAAGCTGTTGTGGGTGAGCTGTTGATGTGTGCTTGCTGAACCTGTGGTAAAACACAGCATCTGAGGACAATGGCTCCAGAAGGGATTTGCAGAACCTTGAAGTGAACTTGCTGAAAGTGGTATGACACACATGTGGTGTGCCTTGCCCTTTTAGCCTTTTCCCTTCTCTTTATGCAATATGGGGGTTCCCTGCTATTGGAGTGCTCGAGTTACTCAGTTCTTACACCAGGACTCACAGATCATCCATCTCACCTCATGCTTTCCCTGTTCTATTGCAGGAAGCCAGCAAAGCACCACTGCCTGTGTCCAGTGAAAAAGTTTTGTGGAGAGCGAGCTTGGGGACAGCACTGTAGCTGGACCTGGGATTTCATAGTCCCAAACTCAGTCTCTTCCTAGGCTGTATCAGCTTGAAAATTTAATGCTGAATCAGCCTTGTGAAAATCACACTCCTTTTAATATACATTACTCTTTCCACTTATACAAATAAAATGGGATTCTCCCTTTTCTCTAATTTATATTAATTGCTGCAGCATGTAATATTCTGTAGGGTTGGAGCTGATGCACTTTGAAAGAATTTTTTGATATCCTGTTCTGCTTGAGCTCATTGCCCTGAAACACTTAATGATGCTAATTGCTGTTAAGAACACATTGTTAACTATGTTATTCCCATGTAATTACCTGCAGTTTCTTATGCAGGAGATGGAATAACAGTGGAAGTATCTAAATTTTACTCTTTTTAATACACTAATGTGCTGATGAAACATTTAGTTTATCTTATGGCTGTTTCAGGATGACATTGCTGACATCTATTTGTATATTGTGTTTCCCAAGTAGCTCAGAGGGGAAAATGCTTGAAGTGCATTCACACATGCCCAGTGATTACAAAGTCTTGGTATTTGCAGTTGTGGGAGTTTTTTTGTAGCATGGAATTTCCTTTTCTCAGTGTGGTGAAGAATGTGTAATTAGGGAAGCATAATGAAATGTGCTGTTGACAGGAAAGTATGTCTGGAATCTCAAATACTGACCTTCTATGACACCATTAGACTTCCAAAGTTGTGATTCAAAGATAGTAAAGTGGCTTATCTAGGTTTATTAGTAAACATTCTGGCATATTATGTTTTTATATTGTGCATTTTTAAATGCATTTGCACAGTGATGGTAAAGCTTTTCCACTTTCTTTTGTGTTTGTGGCCACTTTCTCCATTTTATTTGTCATGCTCATTAAAGTTCTTGCAGTAGAAGAAAATAATGCTTGTTCACACTAATTTGGAAGATAAAAGTATGGCATAGAAATAATTTATCAACTAGCAAACCAAAACTGCCTGTAAAGCATGCCTGTATTTTGAAGAATTGTTTGAAAAAATATGCATTACATAAAAAACTCCTGGTTCCTGGAAAAATGTAAATAAATGGAAGCAAAAGGAGCAAAAATATGCAGGCATTTTGTTGTCCCAAATATCAAATCCACGTTTCCTTTAAATGGCTTCCATTTTTTGTGAAGCTTTTCCGTAGTTGGATTTATTATTATTCCCAATGCCTTGCTCTGTAGGTTTTCCTGGGTTTTTTTCCTCCTGTAAATGCATAGAATGCTATCTGTGGACAAAGCAATTCAGATAGGACTTTGAAATATGACAAAAACGGGTGATTTTGTCTCAAGTATTCCCTCTTTCCTTTATATTGCTTATGTTTTACAAAGTGTATATTAACTCTTTTCACCTCACACTCTCCCTCCTAAGTCAATAAATAACTTGCAAAATGTTTAATGTTCTGAGTCACAATCCAACCCTCCCCCCCAAGAATCTTAAAATATACTTAGCTCTTGTCCCCATTTACAATAAAATACACTAGTGCTTTGTGAGTGCTGTGGGAAGGCTGCTGAAGAACAGCTGGAGCAACATTTCAGACAAATGCCTGTTCACGTTCTTCCTTCTCACCTGTGCATCTTAGCAGATATAACAAATGATAGCCAGCAAAGGGGGGGTGGCTTTGCAAGGGAATATTGTTGTGCATTGTGTTCATAGCCTGTATGCCAGTATTCATTTAAGTATTTAATGATCATGTTACTATGAGAAATAATTATAAAACACTTATTTGATTTAATATTTGGTAAATTATTCAATATTGATGCCAGGCATCACCTTTAGGGGTGGCTGATAAACCTAAGAAAAATCTGTGTTTCTGCTATTAGGAAAGAGGCCAATGTGAAGTGCCTGAGTCTGGTCTCAGGCCTTAAAGGCATGACTTTTACTGGGAATTCAGGAGTTGAAGCTGGATATCCATAGAAGTTTCCTCAGGCTTGCTCTGTGTGATAGTCATGGGTATTAATAGGTTTAGTTTTCTTGGAGTGATGGAGTGAAAGGGTGTCTGGGTTTTCTGCCCAGGCCGCTGTGGCTGTCCAGCAGTGCTGGCAGTGTCTGACTGTGCCCTGAGCTGGGTGTTCCACAGCCTTGACCTCAGTTTCTCCTCCTCTTGGTATTCTTAAAGCAAGAGTGTCACTCTCTGTCTTTTTAACACTAACGGGGCTTGCTTAAAAATTAAGTATTGCAGTCCTTTAATATACCTGACTATATTTAATATGTATAATTCATTTAGCTCTAACACTTCATAGCATTTTTCTTGTGCCATTAGCATACCCATGCAATGTGCTGGTTTGTTAGTCCCTTTAGGAGCAGCTTTATATGAACCACAACCTGAAAGGCAAAAAGAAGCTGAGTTTGGTGCCCGTAATAGTGTGTGTGAAGCTTTGTTGTCCCAAAACGTCAAGATAACACAGGATTCTCTCACTTCCTTTTAATGAAAAAATCTCATTATAGCATGAGAGCTGAAAAAAAGGAATTTGACATCATCTCTTCACAAAGCTGTTTTTGAATTCCAAGTAAACAAAGTAGTTGAGTTTCAAAATGCTTCCAACTGTGGAGAAGGCAGGATATAAATGAATTTTAAAAGTCTTCAGAGTATTCCATAGGCATCAGGCAGAAAATGCTTTAATCCATCTTTGTTTCATGTAGCACTGTTACTGTGTCATTAGCAGGGGTGTGATGATTGCTGTTTGTATAGATGGTCTCAAATAAGGCTGATCTTCCCCGCTCAGGAGAGCAGGCTGCTGGTAACGTTGGATGTTTGCACAGTAAGAATGTAACAAAACTTTTTTGTGAATGGGTACATGAAGCCTCATGGAAGCAGCTGTATCTCACTTTTCCTTTCTTGCAGGATATCTTGAATAATCTTGATTCATGTGATCTTGAAGATGATGATCTCATGCTTGATGTGGACCTGCCTGAGGATCCACCTCGTGACAAAGGTAAGGCAGCCAGGCAATCTCACTGTGGAACTGCTTCATGGGCTTGAGAGACTTTTGAGTTGCTTTCTTCTGACTCTTGACATAGTAAGTCAGTGCACTCTTCAAATTGGGGTGGTTTTTTTTTTAAGGTAACAACTCTTTCTTTTGTGAAATACAGGAAGGGAGATATTTCTGTTTTCCCACGTATAACTCTTACATTTGAAAAATTCTGACTATAGAAATGTACTGCCTTGAAAAGTGCAACCTTTTTAATACTATTTTTAAAAAAAATCGTTTCTATAGAATCAATGTCAATGTTTTAAGTTAGTCTTTCAGTCTCATGTTTCAGCTATATTTGAAAATGTTGGGACAGTTTTTTTTTTTAGCTTTGGTGAATGACAGTGTAATTCTTTAAGATATTTAATTGTTTTCTTCTGCAAAATTACAGTACCTCCTTATAAATATATATACATGTTAGGATAGCAGATGTAAAATTTAAGATATGGGTTTTCAAATTGTGTTTTATGTGCTCTTGCTTTTCGTGAGGATGCTGGACGACTTTTCACAGAGAAAGCAGAGGTACCTACATGCCTCTGAAATAGAAAAAAATTCAGAATATAATTAACTTGGTAAAGGGAATTATGACTGCGGTTTTTCAAATCTCAGACTGGAAAAGTTTGAGGCATTTGCTTTGTTTATTCCTGAGCTACTCATAGGACTGAGTATTGTTATTATTATGAGCTGTTGTTATGTGAATAGGGATATTAGTTTCACCTCCAAGTTCAATGGAGGCCAGTCTATTGTCAAATGAACAGAAACACTGGAGCACTGTCAGGCCCTACTCAGTGCAAACATGCACTGACAGGAAGAGGCCTTTACTTATTTTGTGTAATGTTCAGCTGCTTGCTGAAGTTGGGGGAAATTTAAAGGTTTTTGAGAGTTCTTGTGTGTATGTTAGCTAGGAAGCCAAATTTCCAGTAAGTAAAGCACAGTTTTCCACCTACCATGGTGGTGGCACATCGTGTTTTAACCTTGTGCATGTATGAAGTGCAGTGCTTAAGCTGTTAAATCTCAGAGTGAGTTTTTCAAAGTGCTTGTGTGAAATGATTGAGAACATGGCAAGCAGGCAGCTTTTCAACCCTGACAGGTATGAATTTTTTTACTTTTTTTACTCAATTAATTTTCCAGAATGGGTAGCAATGAAGCCTAAGGCATATTCTTTCAATAGGGGTAATTTAGTTCTGTTGGGGAAAAACTAAAAAGCTATTTTAAAGGGTAGATCAATTTCTCCTAAGTTTCTTTGTTTATGTGAAACATGCACTACATTTGCATCGGTAATTCCATTACAAATTATTAATTTAAAAACTGCTAGAAGGGCCTGTTTTTAAAGGTGAATGTTTGCCACAAAATCATATTAAGCTAATTACTCATACTTTTGACTTTTTTTAGAGGTTGGGTTTCCTTATAAAATTAATCTAGCATAAACTGGGTATCTCTGCTTTTTGTCTTGAAAATTCTGTCTTTTCAGCGAAGAGGATCTGAAAAGAAGAATTCAAAAGCCACCTCCAGGTTTTCCCTTATGTAAACATGACCACTTGAAAAAGCAAAACTTCTCAGTTAATCTCCACCTGTCTTTTCTCAGTGTCTCAATATTTACTTTTCCAAAGCTGAAAATCATAATTGCTTGTAAACTTACCAAGGGATTTTGTTGTTAATTTTCGTGTGTTATGAGCTGTAGAAAGAGGGTGCTAAAGGAAAGTAAATCTCGAGTTAGTTAAGGTGAATAAGTTTATTTTATTATTAAATTTTTTGGTTATTTGCTAGGTGATAAAAACTGAATTGTAGGTATGAGTACTTTTTCTAGTGATGTTTAACAGCACTTTTTGCCAACACTTTTTCCGTAATTGTGTGTGACTTCACTGACATCAGCCTCTTAAGACTTTCCAGGTCCTCAGAAACTCCTGGTTTCACTTTGGAGCCTGGGATGCCGCTTGCCCACTATTTATAGCAGCAGTTCTAGCTCCACAAGTATGCAGGGAGTGGGGAGGGCAGTGTAAATCACGGGGTGACGCTGGGCTGGCTCCCAGCCCCACGCAGGCTGGGAAGCAGCAGGAAGGAGGGCCTGCTTGGAGCCCTGTGCGCAGCCAGGCTGGGGGCAGCGGCAAACACCGCTCCCTTGTGTGGAGCTGCTCCTAGCAAAGGACTCACAATGTCAGGAAAACTCCTTGGGTGAGTGAACGACCGAGCGTGGTGGCAGAATAGCCAGTCTAGGGCTGGTTTTGCTGCGTCTGACTGCCCGGGTAGAAGTTGTTTTGGCTTTCTCTTCGTCGTTTCCGGGCTGTTGCCAAATTTAGCATTTGTTCCCTTAAGACGTTTGTGGAATTCCTGTGGCTTTGCAGAAGTTGGTGCTTTAAAGAGATTATTTGGTTTCCTTGTTTTAAATCATTCTGGTTGTCCAGGTAAATACAGATTAAATGTCTCTGAATCTGAAAACCAAACAAGGTGAATAGGACAAGCTATATATGTGTTTTAAGTAACTAAACTGTTTCCTTTTGCAAGTAATCGTGACTTTTTTTACAATGTTGTCTTTCTGTGTTTGTGTATTGTTAGAACTTGTTAAAGGCCTGGAGTTGCTGTCAGAAAGAAAGACAAGAAATTGTTACTTTTAAATTTCTTCCATAATCTCTACCTCCTCCAAGTGATTTTCTGTTTAAACTGGAAATACCGTTAAAGCTGGATTCTTTAGTTTCTGCTACAGGTTGATCTTATTCTTTTATCAAGTTTATATTTTCATAAAAATGTGACATTGTTAGACAAGTCTACTTGACACTTCTGAAATACATACTGTTTTGGATCAGTTAAAAAAAACAAAACAAACCCCACAGACTTTGCACTGCATCTGTTACCAGCACATAGTTAATATTTTATTTGCAAGGTCCTAAGAACAAATCTTACTTTTTTTTTTTTTTAAACATTATGCTCTCTGTAGAGGAATGTGAAAATATGAGCCGCTATGACAGACAAGACAGAAATGTGAGACAACATCAAGAGGGATTCTGGAAAAGAGCATCACAACAGCGATGGAATACACAGGAGCACTATCATCTTGGCCATGCTGACCATTATATCCATGGTAAAAATGATTTGAACAGGTAAAGCACTTTTGTATATCCTCACAAACATTTAAAGCACCAGTGAGCAATTTTTTTTGGCACTTAGGGGTGTCAAGTGATACTGAGTACAACATTTTCAGAATTGTTGTATGTCTGAGTGGAAGCACCACTGAGGGTCATAATTTCTTTTCAAAACTTGCACTTCTGTGTTCATTCCACGTACATGTTTCTCATGTTGATACAATATTATACATGTTGATTAAAATACCTTATGTGTTCCATGGAAAACCATTGCAATGTCTTGCTATTTGCATTTTTGGAAGTTTGGGCAGCTCTTTGCAGTTTAATTTGTTGGTAAAGTAAATGCAACCTTCTAGTCCTAAAAGGGTTGAATGACAGTTTATAGAAATTCTGCTGAACTAACTGGTTTTAGGGCACTGTAGTTTATAGTCTGAGAGAGGTCTCTGGGAGTGGAAAGGAGAAGTCTGTATTTAAGTGAAATAGCATTGACATTTTCTGATTTTTATTCTTTTATTTTCTGCTGTGTGCCGCAGTACATAAGTATAGCCCACATTGCATAACACTTTCCTTTTTACCAAATGCTGTCTAGCTGCATTTTGGCATCTCTGTTTTTGTGTTTTGGATTTCTTTTCAGGGGTTCAGGCTACCTGGAGCCTGCAGTGGGTCCCCTGGAGAGCTGCAGAGCAGGCAGTGGCTCGCAGGCCCCGCGGGCTCTGGCGGAGAACACGGTGATGCTGGATGAGATGACCCTGCGGCACATGGTGCAGGACTGCACCGCAGTCAAAACCCAGCTCCTCAAACTCAAGAGGCTGCTGCACCAGGTGAGCTGTCCACAGGGACTAAAGCTCTGAAATAAGCTGGGGACTGCACCTAGATGGGCTTACGTTCTGCTTGGCTTTATTAGGATGTTGGCATTCATGTATACATTGAATTACAGAGTTCCAGAAAGTGACTATACGTTTTATTGCTGTTTCCAATAGCACCTTTTCTGCCTTGTCAGCGCTTTACTGACTACAAAACATACTAAATACTAAAATTCTTAATAAATATTTATTCAATATTAAATTTTACTTCTCTGAGGAAACATCAAAACAGAAAGAAGTGGGTATGAAAACCAACTTTTTTCCAGTAAGATTCAAAAAAGCTGTGAGTTTAAAAAAAATTAAAAAGTACTAAAATTGATTCTTTTGATGGAACTTGCATTGAGCAAGTCAATTGTAATAGCTTTTTCTTAAGGCTTTGTTTTCCTCATTCTTTCCATCTTTTCTGTGTAATTTGACAAGAAGCTTAGCAAATCCTACTGGGTCATCTCTGTTGGAAGTGTTCAAATTTAACAAATTTCATAACAATTTCTATGTTATGAAATTGTCATAAACTTTTAAGGAGCTTTTTCAATGCACCTCAAAACTTGGCAAGTTATGGGAGCTGGTAAACTGCTAAATGACTCAGCAGAAGCATGGCGTTCAAAATATGGCTACAAAAATTCCTTTGTTGCCATAATAAAAAACAGTCCATGAGGCTTTCTTTGGAGGCATACACAGATTGGCATTGAAAAGTGTTTGTGTGATGTTGTCTTTTAATACCCAATTCATTGCTGTTCTTTTCTAATAGGATAATGTAATGAAAATAACTTCGTGCTTTTAAAGTAAGGCACTAAACCAAAACATAACGTAACAAAAAGCAAAGCATCCTTGGGGCTAATTCAAGGGTGTGATTGTGCCTTTTAGAAATGTGAGCATTTGCTTCCTGTGCTAACTGAGATGTATTCCTGATTTTGTTGGGGAAAAACAATTGTAACGAAATTAATGCAGTGTCAGAAGTGGAAGTTGTGTTCTTAGAACCTTATATCTGAGTGGTGTGCTGCATAAACTGTGCCCCCAACAGCCCCAGGCATTAATAGAGAGGTAGCAGGGAACCTTTATCTAGGGCTTTTAATACCTTTAACACAAAGACAATTTGGCAACTTGATTATCTGTGTGTGTGGTTCATGGTGTAAAAGCTTGCACATTACTGCCAAGTACTGTGTTGCCCTGCAGAGTATCATGTGTAAAATCCTGATCTAATTTATGTTATAGCCAGGTTGCAGAATAAAAACCTTGACTCAAGTAGCTCAGATTAACTTTTTGAAGAGAACTTAAATGCACAGAATGAAGCACTTACTCTTAATATGTCCATGTTTCAAAATTTACTCCTCGTTTTGACAAGTGCCTGATCCTTCCTTCCTGTAACAGTGAGTTTAGTAGCAGCAGGTATTATTCTTCTCTTCAAACATTGTCAGGCATACTTGGCTGTATTTTCCTGACCTAAACCAACCCTGTTTTGACTCACTGCTTCCAAAACTCGTCACTGGACTTATGAATATTTATTCTACTCTGCTTTGTATAATCCAGTCTTTTAATCAAAGAACATGAATAGTAATGTAAAAGTAAATTAGCCCACTACAGAAGGGGAAACTTCAGACCTTTAATGTAATGAAAAAATATTTCATACAAGTTTTGCCCTAATTGTTTAGCAAATTAAGGTAATAAAGTGTAAAGCCTTTAGAGTAAACATCAAGTTTCATACCAACTGGAATGAGTAAAAATACCACAATTATTTTTTACTTCTTGAACCAAAATATAGTTTTGAAAACAATTAGTTGAACTTTAGCAGTCTGAACTGTAAACTAGGACTGGAACATAGGCAGCTTCTTACAAAATACAAAAAATCAAGGTACAAAGTCAGTTGCTTTCAAACTCCAGTTGTATTATGGAAGCAGAAGTTCTTCTGTTAGCTCCACCAATATTGCACATTTAAGTGTATGTGTTGCCTTTCTCCAGTTGTGACATTCAGCAATAATATTTAATTTGGATAGGGAGAAATAGAGCTGTAGTCAGGACTTAGGCACGAGGTCTCAGAGGAACAGTTACAGTAAAATAGGAAGAGTTAGTAATTAAATTCAGTTTTATACAATTATCTAATCAGCCATAGTGTGACTTAGTGAGGAGCACAGCACGTAATGAATGTATACCTAGCAGATTCCTGGGGAGACTTAATGTGCTGTACTAGATTCATTGCTGTGACTGGAGCTCACATAACTGGATATAAATTAGCTGGAGTATTGCTAGCAATATAGCTGCAGCACCGTGGGGCTGGTGCTGCATTCCCAGTTCAGCTTGGAAAAGTAAATAGTTACTTGGGTACCAGAGCCTTGGCTGAGCTCTGTGTGACCAGGATGGCACAGGTACATGTGGCAGCAGAACATGTGCAGACTGCTTACTCCTCACACACTGCCATCGTCCTGTGCATTCAAACACTGAAATCAGCAATAGGAGTCTCATACAGAGTTTAGAAAATCTCACAGTAGTGTGTATAAGCTTCTCTGACTTCTCAGTAATGTTATACTAATCTATATGGAATGAAAAATATAGCTTGTTCCTGTACTAAATGCAGCCATATTTGCAGGGGGGTGTACTGCTGGAGGGCGTTCTCTCTTTAATGCTTAACTGGAGTGCTAACTTTGTATTGTAAGAAGAAAATGTTTTGGAATTTGGAATTCTAATTCTAGTGATAATTGACATGTAAATGTTAATGCCTCTTAAACATTGAATAAGGTACTTCATTTGCATGTTTATTAAGAAATAACTTTTCTTCTGATCTTAACAATTTCTTCCTCTTCCTCAATTAATTCCATAAACTTGCTGCTCTGGGTGGATGCTAATGTGTTAATACAATTTTAAATAAGATGGTTCTATTTCTTTTGCCCTAGAGCCTTTGATCTTGGCAAAGATTGAGCATCCTCTGTAGTATCCCAGCAATGGTTGCAGCTACCCTGTCTTACCTCAGATCAGCACTTGCTGCTCTTATAGGGAGGACTTGAAACATGAAGTAGTTCACAGAACTGTGAGCTCTGTGAAGCTCTTTTTTCTGTGGGAGGCAGGTTTTCTAAAAAATGTTTTGTTTCAACTCATCTTTCATGAATGGAAATGAAATTCTATTTTTCAAGCACAGGTGTTCACTGTAACTTACCAGATATGGCCTATTTGTATGAAGATATGTGAATGAAAACGTGAACCATGCTGTGCAAAGTTGTTAAATACATCAGTACATTCTGTTGATGTTTTAGATCAGTAAGTCATTTGTGTACCTTCGAAATACATATTGTGTTCTTTTCTTTTTGCATCTGGTGAGATCCACAGGAGAGGTTCATCTTTGTTTATGAGAAGCCTGAAGTTAAGAAAGAAACAGACTTAAAAAATAAGATGTTTTTGTGTCATGCGTTAAGTTGTATAAATTGTCCCTACAATTATTATTTTTTACTAGCCACAAAATAGTTCACCTCAGTGACTTAATTGTTCTTGAAAGAAACAGAACCAAAAGAGATGAACAAACAATAGCAAATCAAATTGGCAAATTTTAGGTTCAAGCCGTTATTTAACTGTCAGACTGTCGCTGCTGACAGTGTTTGACAGTGGGCACTGAGATTGACATGGCCTGGATGAAACTGCACTCAGAATGCCAAGCAGGCAGCACGTGAAGAGCACCCTCTGCTTGATGGCCACTTAAATTCTGCTTGCATCAGTATAGAAATGCCATTGACAATCCATCTATTCAGATGAGTGTTTTGTACTGAATAAAGCTTGGAATTGGGAATCAAAACCTGGACCTTGGTAAAAATTTGGTAGACCTTACCACTGCTCTGGATAAGTGATTATACCAAAATAAGTAATGTATTCTGCTTCTGTAAAAATCTTAGAGGGAGCAGTTTTTTTATATTACCTGTTGTAGTGTGATGTGCAATCTGGTGATACCTTTATAAAGTTAATTGTATCTTTACCAAAAGCTTTAAAGCATATGTTCTCTCCAAATTTCCAAATTTTATGATACCTTGGTATACTTTGTAGTATTATTTCTAGCCTACCAAAAATAGCATACGCATACAAGCAGGTGCATTTTCTTTGCTAATTCTATCATCTTTTTGATAATTCTAATATGTTCTTTTTTGTGCTGATTTCTCCTGTTTCATTTTAGCAATATAATGAGCAAAAAGCACAACAGGACAGGTTTCATAGATTAATCCTAGCAAATGTTCAAATGGGGGCTTGAGTTCCCACTGATAGTGTTAGAACTGTTTCTTTTTCAGTTATGCTGTGTTCTCTACATGTGTACTGAGATAATTATGACAGTGGTGAGGGAATTGCTGCAAATGACCTTTGTCCCTGCTTTGCTGGTGAATGAGTCAGGTGTAGCACAGGCCTGGAGTACTGATTTAAATCACCAGGGTGTGTGTGACATACTAACCTTCTTGGCAATTAGGTCTTAATCTGCTGTTGTGAAATGTTTTATTGCTCCACTTCTCTGCTTTTTAATAGCAGTAAAAGGTATATTGGAGGTACAGAGCTTTGAGAAGCCATGCAAGATACTTTTGCTTGGAATAGTTTGTCTAGTTTTGTATTTTTTCCCATTCCCATGATGACTTTTTTACAATTGTAACTGTGATCATCTATAGCTTCACGTCTGAGTGTGTGTATTTGTTTGAATAATTGCTAAAAGTAAAATGTTGGTGAAATTTGTTAATTGGGGAATATAAGGCAAATATAAAATACGATATAAATATGAAAAAAAATTGTTAAACTGTAAGTAATACTAGGATTCTAATTCCTGCACTTTTCCTCTAGCATTTTAGAAATGTTTGTGTTTTTATGGTATTATTGTGCAAATTATTTCAGGGCACTCTGTTAGAATTTATCTCTAACATGGAGTGTAAACTGCTGCTTCATCAGTCTTTCACTTGCTGGCCATGGGCCTGGAAGGGATAGGCAGCTACTTGAGAACTGAATACAACTGAGTGCTGGACGTGTAAACTTGATTGTTCTCAAAATTACCAGTCTATATAAAAGCCCAAGAAACAAAACAAAAAAAAATCAAAAAACCGACAAAAAACCCAAGCAAACCAAAAAAGCATCAAAAAACTGAGAGATGTAAAGTTATATCAAGCTATGGAAATTAAATATAAGTGTCTGTAGCATGGCCCTTACTTGGGCATTGTACATAGGCTGCAGCAAGGGAAGATTTCCTATAGGGGGAGAAAGGAAACTTGATCTTTCAACAAATAATTCAAATTTGTGTTCTTGTTTTTGTCCCCTGGTAGAATGATGAAAATGTGTCACTCCAAGATATCACATTTTCAGTTCCATCGAGTCCAGAACCACAAGAAGCTGAGTCAACTTTTAAGGTAAATGGCATTCATTGAGTCTAAGGAATAAGAGATGCAAACCTGTTTATATTTAGAATACACACCCAAAGCTTGTGTGTTACTGAAGTACTGCTTCCTGCTTCTTTCTTTGTTTAAATGAACCCCACAAAGTCAGTGGCAAGTTTATTGTTTTAGAATGGGTATTAAAGGCAGAAGAAATCACAATAGGTATTGCAGATGGGATCATCTTTTAGTTGCAGACTTGTAACATTGTGTTTTCTATGGTGGTAAGCTTTTGTAGTATGGCTTGACTCTTATTGTAAAATGGCTATACAAAGATCACTAATTCTGTGTTTATGAGAGGGAAACAGTGCTTACTGGAAATATAACAAGGCTATAAATATTTCATGAAGTTATAGAACACTTAAAATCTAATGTTTGTTCTGAGTTCAATAATTTCTGTTGTTGATAAAGAGGACTGTAGTAGTGTTTGCTGACTGGGCATGTTCAGCTACATAATGTCACTGGTTTGCACAACAGATGAATTACTGCTTCAAAAATGCAGCTGATTCACTTACCCTGGAAACTCAGTGGGTCAGCTGAATTTGGCCTCTTAGAGACTTTTAGTCAAGTTTCTTCACTCTTTAGCCTGTGTGCCTGCAACCCCTCTCTCTGTGTGAACAGGAGGAAAGCATGTGCTGTGTCACTGCCATCCCTCCAGGCATGTCTGATCTCGTATGTCCTGTAGAGGTGTTGCTTTAGATTATGCAGTCCTTACAGAAAACCACTGTTCTGTTGCAGATGGATGATCTGCTGAATGAGATCAGGCAGCTTAAAGATGAACTGAGGAAAAAGGATGAAACAATCAACCAATTAGAGCAGCAGCTTGTAAGTATAATCCAAAATGTTTAGCAAAATCCCAGGTGTGCAATGCAGAGTGCATCTTCAATAGGCAGTTCTGATGAAGGCTTTAAGAGAGCTTAGACAGCTGATTGTTTCCTGCATTTCCACTGAACAAAGGTAGGTTTGGGTTCGCAGTTGTGTTCTGGGATCTTTAATTCCATTAACCTAGCACTAAGCAAGGATGTTTATAATGCTGTTGAAAGTATTAATTTCCAAAACAGATTTGAATAATAAAATAAATTCTAGATAAAATTCTAGAAGCTGCTCAAAAACAACAGTGAGGAAAAGATGAGGTTACACTCAAAGTATTTTAAAAATGGGCAAGGATTGGGCCTATCATTCTACTTAAAGGTTTTGTTACTGTTTTTCTTCCTCCTTCTCCTTTTGTCTACTGTCCATTATCTTAATAAAGAACTCTACCATAGAATTTAAAGCTGAGCAAGATAGTATTCTAAGTTGATTGCTTTTTTAGGAAACAATACAAAACAATTAAAATAGTCAGATTAAATCTGCCATCTAAGAACAAGTTGTGGTGGGGGCATTTCATCATTAATTAGGTTCAAGACACAAGGCCTCAAGCAGAAGTCACATATGCCTTTTGCCCTTTTGCTCATGTTCTGAGTTTGGATTTTGCCTGTATATCTTTGAATTTGGTTCTGTTAAGTTCATCTGCTGTGGAAATTCTTGTAAAATAGCCCCACATTTTCAAGCTGCAGAAAGATCCTACAGGCAGGGTAGGTGAGATGCCAAGATGCATCATGCGTATTTATCATAGCTGGAGACAGTACTTGTGTGACCATAATCTCTAATAAAATGTTAAACATGTGCAGTAAAACTGAGCTGTGGCCTTCATCCTCTTCCTCTCTGGCTTGGTAACATTCCCTCTGAAAAACAAAACTGAAAGATGAAGATTTCGCATTTGCTCTACTGTTTAAACAGCAGAATCCCAGATCACAGCATACCAAACCAAATTACCTTGCTTGTTAGCATTTTGCAATAAGGGTTGGGTTTTGGGTACACTTAGTCTCACTCTTAACAATCAGCCAAAATTCCTTGAAGGAAGTTTCTCCTTCCCTGCTCAGTCATGTACCTGATTGCTGGAGTAACCTGTAACTGGTGCAGCAGAGGAACTCTGCTGTAGAGACAGGTAAAACCTACATTTGCAATGACTGAAAAATGACTTGAAGAACTTGATGCTACTGAAATTCAAGTGGAAAAACTCTTTCACAAGTCAATATTTAATCTGGATTACTTCTCAGTATCCTTTGAGAAAAGCAGCAGTTGTGCAGCACTGTAAATAGTGGATTCTGCAGTTTAATCAAATGGTGCTCTACAATCAAGTCATGCTTCATGTTTGAACACTGGGCCTTGACTGTACTTTCCAAGAGGATTAGCTGATTAATTTCTAACTAATTCTTGTTTCTTTTTCTCTTTTTGGGGGTGATTAAGGCTACCAGATGTAACTGCCAGAAGGACAGTCAAAAACTTCCGGGGGCAGTGCGCGGGTGTGCCGATAAATTCACGCAAACCTCCTGGAGGAGGAGTTCTGTGAGTAAAGTGGGCCCTTCATGCTCGGGTACCTCTTTCTGCCTTTCATTCCCCACTTCTATAACCTTGGCTCTCGCACAAGTCAGCCTTGTGTAAGAGATTCTGTGCTGTGTGTGAGTAGTGTGCTTCCTGCTCTGCAACCCTTGCATTCTTTTGCAGGCCTATTATGTAAACAAATATTACAAACGTTTATTTTAAAATAAATAATTAAACCTTAGAAATTTTCTCTTTAAATAATCACCATTTGCAGTATTTAAGTTAGAGTTAATCCAAGCTGTTTATCTAGTTATTCTTAAGAGATTTTCTTATATCCTAACTTCAAAGTCAAAGGTATCTCTTCAGGTTTTTTCCTGGTCAAATTTTCTTGCTGATGTTTTCATATTTGTTGAGGAAAAGAAACAGGGTATTCTAAGTTTTGGTGCGTAAGTGTAAAAACAAAAGTTAATGTCGTTTAATATTTTTTTATAATTCATTTTAATAACTTGAATCATTTAAAAAATATTGTGTGAAAATCACTTTGACAACAGACATCTTCATTCCCATATATTGTTGCATGGATCACATTTGTTTCCACTATGTAAAATTTTCACATTCTTCATGGAACACTAATAGGATATTTGAGATGAGGGAGGAACAACATATTTGATATTATATAATAAGCAGAAATTACCTTTGCTAAACAAAGCTTTTGTTAGTTACCAGCAGATAGCATTTGAATCTTGAAGCTACTGCTCTAGCTAGAAAACCTAGGACATTTTATTGAAAGATTAAAAATGGGTTTGATTTTTTTTATTTGTTTTTATCCTACCTTGAGTTACTTTATGTAAGCTTGTAATAAAGATGAATTACCCCTTTTATCCTTCTAAAATCGCTCTTTTAAATATGTAGTGCTAGGACAGAAGCACCACCACGCTTGTGTTCACCAGTTACTGGCAAACAACCTTACCCGTGTTTTCCAACCTCCTTCTTTCTGTCTGATAAGAAACTGCTGTCAAAAAAGTATAACCTTATGTAGCTTTTAGTTTGCTTTGACACCTCTGCTCCCCCACGTCTTTGGAACGTTCTTGGTTCATTCCATTTGTTTCTTCTGCTTTTACTTTGGAGCTTCTGAGCCCTTGCATTGTTTCTTTTTCCCAGTTTAATTTGATGTGTGTACTGTTCATTGGATGTCTTTGGGCATTGATACTGTTACAATGTTAGTGGCTATTTTTCCATGTTCCTTTTTTTCTAGCTCATTTATCACACGGCTTCAGGGACAAGATTAAGAGTAGTGGAAAGTTAGTTGCTAACTACACAAGTTTTAGTTTGTGCAACTTGTGGTGTTAATTGATAAGACATAGATATTGGAGAAGATGGGGAATGTGAGTTGCTGTCTCAAGCACAAAGAGTCACTCAGCACGATTGTCTGGTTGGGGTCAGATTGGCCAGTATATTTTTTTTTAAGTTATATTGTAGTTTTGATCAAAAGGACTTTTTTTGTCAGGAGGAAGTTTTGGTTAAGGGCCAGTATCTTTAAGAAGAGCTAAAGGAACCTCTGCTGTGTCCGTGGTTGGGTGTGTGGATATATTTGTATTTCTAGGCATATGATCTTTACACACACAATCCAAACATCTTGGTATTTTTATCCATGGGCAAAGTTTCTCATGAAATTGATAAAGGGCTTAAGAAAATTAATGAAGTGTTAAAAAAATTTTGAAACTATGCTGTTTTTCAGGACCTTTGGATAGCTGGGAAGTTTTGGGCAAAATGTTTTGTGCATGTTTCTTTGAATTTTTCAGTGTCTTCACATGCATATTTGTAAGTTACAGCCTTTCTGCCAGCCAAAAGAAACGGGAACTCCATAATGTGGGATTTCTTCAAGGACAATGATGGTCTGGCTGGCGCAGTCAAATTTCAGTTCTCAACTTTCTGGTTTAATGCTTCCTCTGCTACCGTGCATTTGGATGCTTTCCTGCTTGGGTTAATTAACAAATTAATGTATAAAATAATTTTTGATCTGGAACCTAATATCAAAAAACGTCTTTTGCAATGTAAAGGACACACAATCAGCTCTTATTTTCTTGAGGGTAAGAGTACAATAAATAGGAGACACCTAAGGAAAATGTATTCTCACTACTCAAATCCCAAAAGCCTCTTAAACAAATTGTTTAGCTTTATTCCTCTTCAGTTTAATTTGATGGTCTTGACCTAAGTATAAAGACTGAGAAAAGTCATGTTTATTGATCCTATATGTGGTGTAAATAATGAAATAATGTTAATATTTATGAAATTATCAGGTTCTCATGTAGACTAGGTTTTTTTAATGTAGATAAGCTTTTTCTTTTTTTAAACCAAAGGGCAATTGAAGTCTTGGCAATGACAAAATGGCTCCTTTGAGGCATCTTAGCTTTTTGCTTCTTTAAGCTTGTTAATAGTTTTCTATTCTTAATAGTTAACTATTTCAATTTTTCCTATTAGTGTTGACCTGTCAGCCATTTAAAATTATGGTGGATATTGGGTACTTCAGGTATCAAAGTTTAAAAATTAATGTGACTATTTATAAATTCTATATGTTCTATACAAATCAGAACTGATATAGTGCGTTTATTTCTCAGGAGTTAGTACCAGTCTGGGAACACAGTGATTTAGTGTTCCAAGGAATACTGGTAATGCTTACTGAAACGTGTCTTAGAAACATTGTTAATGTAGTGTATCATAAAGAATAGATGCTAGAATAAATTAGGAAACAGTGAGAGTGGAAAGCATTTGAAGTGGCTGATATTTCTGATCACTTCATGGTTCTGACAATAAATAAGTGTATTTCATTAAACATATTAGTTTTTAAAAGTCATGTTCACAGTTTCTTGGTTAAATATTTCTAGAAAATGGCCCATTCTGATGTGATTATAAACTTGTCTGGTGGTGTTCTCTCCAGGGACCACAGTTTGTCAAAGTACTTTTATTTTTTTTTTTCATATTTAAAGGTAAATATGTCCATAAGTGGAAGTTGTGTAACTTTAACTTAATCCTTGGAACTTAGTGCTCACATAATAAAACTAGGGGCTGGAAAGAACTGTTTGGGAAATATGGCTTCTTAAAAATTGATAGGTCACTACCTATTGCCTGTCTTACTGTGTCTGTGACATGGTATTTCTTGTAAGTGTCCTGTCAGGATGCTCAAAATTTAGGTAACTTATTGTTTGTGTTCTATTCTTGGTTAGCCATCCTTGGGATAAAGGCTTGTACAAATATTTGCTGGCAGGGTAGACCATGATATTTCTGAAAGGGTCTCTTATAGGTCTCTAATACGGAATTCATTCCAGTTAGTGTGTCTTAAGATTTTACTATCATGGAAGAAAATAACCAAACCCTGGAAGAAGATAAAAATTACCTGAAGAAATTAATGTTAATGGACAGCTTACAAGAAAGAAAAATGTGAACATCCATTTCCAGACTTGACTTGCAGGCTTTGCAAGATTGTTTCTCTAGTAGTAAATACTGATAATTTTAAGACTTTGAGAGTAAAGGGCTTAGAAGTGAAGTTTTTGTTGATAAATCATTTGATTTCTTGGGGTGGAAAGGATGTTGGCAGATGCTGAGAAGTAAATGACAAGCAAACAAACTGCAAAGCCCTGAATTTGGTCCAAGGTAGGTATCTTGGAGGAGATTCTGGCCTGAGGACCAGTTCCTCTTAGTTGCTGGTTTCTCTTCCACTCTCTGCAAGATAGTGTGTACAGTACCCTGGCAACAGCTCACAGTAATAAGAATGAGCTTTGCTGCCTAAATGTGTGTACAAGTCCATTCTTGTCTGCTAAAATGACAACAGAACCTGTCAGTTTGCATGGGAGCATGCAAGGTCTTGCTCTTTGCTCCATCTGTTCTCTACTTTTGCACTGAGATATTCTGCTCCTCCCTTTTGAATTTTGTTCCAGTTTGTCATTCCAAAGCCTTTCATGTCAATTGTTTTGATGAACCCTTGTAATCCTTTGTCTTTGTGTACTGTTGTCCTTCTGGTTTTTGTATCTCTTTCTACCTTAGCCTTAAACATCCTGTATGTGTCAGCTTCACAACCATTGATTTAAATTTGCAGCTTTTGAGGTCCAGTCACTGTATATGTTCATCTTCACATCCAGCCTTGGTTTCTCTCTCTTGGTTTCTTTCCAATGCTCTGCTGTTTGCTTCATGTTCTTATACATGTACTTGGTGAAACAAAACCATAGCTGGACTAGGTGGTCGTACTGTGCACCTGTCTCTTGTGCTGTGACTGTGCATGACATGAAGGGACTACACAGAAGAGAGGTCCTCGAACTCTTCACAAGCAATTCTTGTTGGTTTAGTGTAACCAGCACATAAAACTGGGTTGGTGATATTTTTCATCTGAATACTTTCAGAAAGACTATTGCATGTCGGAAGTGCTGATTCATGATCTCTTTCTGGGTGCTAGGCCAGTAAGAGAAGAGTGCTGCAGAAACGTTTTGCTTGCCTCAGTATTGAGGTCTGTCGTTCTAGGTTTGTTCATGATGTGGAGCTCTGAGTGTGTATGAGACAACTGGGTGAGAGATGGCAAAAATCATTGAAGTGCTCAGAGGCTCCAGTTGTATGAATTAAAAGAAGGATCTTTGCTGTATTTGTTTCTGCAGCAGAAAAGACTTTTAAAGCCGTTGCAGTTTTGCATGTTGGTGTATTGTTGGGAAATGAACTGGAATATCTGGCTGTTGGGCTAAAATCACTGTGTGGCAATAGCTTAGAAATATTTTGCTTCTCCTTTTCTGGTGGAAGCAGTTGCTTTTGTTCATGTGACTTCTTATTCTAAGGTTGAAGTCTGCTCATAGCGAACAATGGAAAACTCTGGCCTTAGTCTTCATAGTAGCATTTAAAAGAAGAAACAGTCACCAGGTTTTCCCAGTGCAGTTACAGTCAGAACATCACAAAGCATTTAGTACAGCATAAAGAAATAGTACAATTCATCATCAGGATGTCAGAAGAACTTTTTTTCCTTCTGGTTTGTAGGCTGCTTTATC